TCCTCGGTTGGAGCCAATGCCAAACAAATTTTGTTTTTATTATTTCTTTCATTTTTCTAAATTTGACTTATATATTTAATTGTTTTTTATTTTATTTCCGTTTGTTTTATTTTATTTCACATTTTTTATTTTATTATTAGTTAATTTAAATTTTTAGAGTTTAATTTTACTAAAAAAGTCAAAAACAACTAACTAAAAACAACTTAAAAAAATATAGAAGTTATAATTGAATCAATAAAAAAAATTAAATAAATATCCTACTGTACAATTTTGATCAGAGCAATTGCGGTGTTAATCCGGATCAACGTTGCCGTCTGTCTATGCTTTGAGACCCACTTTTTCAGCTCTATTTAAGACTTTGGATAGAATTATATTATGTTGTTGTATACTTGGCGCATGAATAAGAAAATCGTCCATGTATATAACAAGACCCGACCCTTTATATCACCAAAAAGACGTGTCATCTCTGCGTGGAAAATTTCTGGCGCGAAGTTTATTCCGGATGGCAAACGTAAAAATTTTTAGCGGCCAAAAGGAGTTGCGAAAGTACAAAGCTTAGATGATTCCTCATCTAAGGGAATCACCCAGAATCCCGAATTCGCTTCTAAACTGCTGAACAATTTTGATCCGCTCATTTGAGATTTACGCTCATATTAGTTCGGAAATGAAAATCGTGGCCGAATTATGACTTTGTTAAGATTTCGCGGATCTAAGCAAAGCCTTAGAGTCCCGTCGGCTTTTGTGACCAATGCTACGGAGTTCACCCACTCTGTTGGTTCTCGCACCTCAGCAATAACGTTTAAACTTTTCATACGATCAAGTTCTTTTCTCAAAGGCTCTAACAAACCAAAAGGTATACGTCACGGCGGATCTACGACTGGCTGACTACTTTCTTTTAAATGCAAATTACATATGTTTTGCAATTGACCTAGACCGTTGAATACCCCAACGTCTTTTTCTAAAATATCTTTGTATTTTATCGACTTCACTATTTGCACCAAATTCATTTTTACCGTCAAATCCAAACCCATAACACTTTTACAATCCATATTTAAAATATAAAATTTTGCAAAATATGTAGCACCGTCAAATCGCACTTTGAGATAAGCGCACCCTACTACTGGAAGCTTTTCACCACCTAACGCAACAATATTGTTCAATACCTTATTATTAATCTTACATACGTCTAGTTTTTTAAGCATATTTACCGACATCAGATTCGCCTGCGCGCCCGTATCCATTTGACAGTTGACTTTGCATCCATTCATATCCACATCGACGTTCCATTCTTTCATAGTCTCTTTTGGCTTTGTTTCCTGAAGCAGGCCGACAAACAAATCGTTGTAGAGTTCATCTTCTTCAGTCCCAGTCCGTTCCTCGTTGATATTTTTTACAAATTTTTCTTACTTCTTTGCTCCGTCTGTTTCTTGTTGGTTGTAAGCACATTTTAGCGAAGTGATTCGGTTTTTTGTATATGCGACATATAGCACCTTCGGCCGGGCACTTGACACGATGTATCTGACCACATTTTTTGCATCGATCGCCTGATGTCTGCTTCTTCTGCTGTTGGAACGGCTCCGTTGTTCTTTTGACTTCTTTGCCTCGACTTTTTATCGCTGCTATCATCTCGTCAGATGTTGTTGGTGTTGTTTGCGTTGCTGCTGCGTTCTCCCTCGCCATTCCAATGCTTCTGGCAAATTTCGAATGCTTCGCTTAAAAGGCGCTCCTTGATATTTTTGAACTTTGGCGACAATCCGCAAATAAAAATGTCTTTAACGAGGTCTTCCCGCAGGTTACCAAATTCACAAGTCGCACTCAAGTTTTGTAAAGCAGTTGCATATTGACTTATTGTTTCGTCGGGCGCTTTTCGTCTAATAAAAAAATTGTGACGCTCCATTGCAAGATTAGTCTTGG